TCCCTCACCCATGTCCCTCTGTCTTCCTGGAGTGGTGCTTCCCCAACATCTCCTTTGATGTGCCCCAAATGCAGAGAGGGGGGAAGTCACCTCCCAGAATCTGGGGATCACTACGAGCAGACAATGTCTTTAAAGCCTATGCTTTATCTTAAAATTTGTGTGTAGTTTGCATTAAAGTGCAATATATAGCCATGCTGGTTTTCATATAAAAATGTCCCTTCACTCCAATCTTCCAGTAAAACCAAAGCTCTGTGGACTCTGGGTTTTCACATTCCCAGACCACTACATATCCTCAAGGTCTAAGAATCACTGGCCCCACTTGATCCTAACCCACTGGTTGGATCCTGGCCCCTCTCAACTTGCCCACAGCCAATGCCTTTGGCCAATTCCTGTGTGGCTGAGGCGTTGGAGGCAGCTTGGTCTCAGACCTGTGGGGCAGAACACCGAGAGCAGACTTACCTTCCCTCCTCCAGCGAACATCCTTAAGGCTCACCAAGCCCCTGAGTTGAGCAATTTACTGCTAACCCAGTGTTTCTTGATGACGCATATCAATTGTTTGAACCATGGCCAGTTAAGAGTCGCAAAGCCACTGGGTGACTCAAGAAGGGGCAGAACTAACCCTGGCTGATTTCCCACTAGGATGCAGACACCATGTCACACTATCATACTTAACTCACACGGGCCAGGATGGGTACCACTGTCTTCATTTCATCCATGAATTATTTAATACCATAGGATGTAATGGACACACAGCACGCAAGCAACTGAGGTAGGATTTAAACCCATGCTTTTCTTACGAAAATCCTGTTCTCTTTCCACTGTCCATCTGTTGCATCTTTTTGCCCATTTCACTCACTAAGGCCTCCATCAAAGAATGTAAACACAGAGACAGGAGGTGAGGTTGGGATGTGTGAATTCTGCCATCAGCTTCAGAAACATGAAGAGGGTGTGGGAGAGGTAGTGGATTGAAACCAATGTCTAAACTGACATTTCTCTTATCATCTCTGGAAAGAATTTATCTTGGTCCACCTTGCTCTTCTCATAGCCACAGATTTGAAGGAATGGCTGTAAGAGGGGCCTTACAGACCTACAGAGGGAACACAGCTTCACCAAGCCCCTCATTCATCACCAGCGAGAGTTCCGGTCTCATTAATAACTGGGGTTTAATCTTCTACATTCAAAGAGACTCCCATTACCCAAAACAATAATTTTTAAAATTACCCCGCAGTGTGTCAATCGCATATTGAATACTAAGAGTTACTTAAAGCTAATAAATGCTTTTAGAAATTATTTGAACATTTGATGAATTAAAAGTTATGAAATATTTATAAGCAGTAACAACACCATTTAGCACCATTAATAAAATAAATACATTAGAGAGAATGAAATTCATTACTATTTTACCATTAGACATTGATGTCAATGACTGAATATTGCTCCAAATTACTTGTAAAATAGACCAATTATTTCAGTGTGATTAATCTTTTCAATTATTTCTTTTATGTAGTTGTAATTTGAAAGTAATTTTCTTGTGGGAGTACAATGACCTCAGCACACTAGATCCTTATTTATTTATATTTAAAAACCTTGGCGTCTGCCCCCCATTTCTGGGCGATTTCCAGCGGTCGGATATTTAAAAGTTGCCCAAGCAATCATTATTGTTCCTAAGCACTTTTTATTGGCTTTATTAGTGATTATGAATAAGCCCTCCCAAAGTTAGAGACTCTCTGCCACCAGCAGTAACATTAGCAGAAAAAGGAGGGACTAGCAAAACCCTTTCCTTGTTCTACCAGCTATGGCCCTGCTGTGTTAGACCCTGAGCTCAGCCTGAGGAAGGCCGCGTGGTAAGCAGGTTGAAGGACTTCTAGGCTCTTCCCTGGCCTCCAACCATCCCCACAGGATTAAACAGTCCTATTCCTTTTCATTACATAATGAATTTTGTGTACCCTGCCACAAAAGAAAAATGACTTTATTAGAGATAAAAGCATAGATCGTAGGGAGTAGGGAAGAGAACTCTGCAGCTGCCTTCAAAATCAGAACGTGGATCGGGGCTGTTAGACTCTGCTGGGAAGGTGGTAACCTTTCCCTGGCCCATCGGCTCGGACAGAGACCAGACAGAAAGTGAGATGTGGGAGTGAGCCTGCAAGCACACCTGGGTAGTTGTGCAGGATAAGTCAGCCCTGGTTCCAGAGTGAGGATATTCAGCTCAGTCAGGGCCACAGGACAGAGAGGGCAACAGTATTGATTGTATCAAGCTCTGTGCCAGGGGTTCTACACACAATATCAGTTTCAATTCCCCAAAAAACCTATAATTATGTATTATTAGCCCCATCTACTGATGAAAAAATTGAAACTCATAGACTTTAAAAAACTCTTCTAAGCTCAAGAGGGTGGTCAGTGATGGAGCTGGGAGTCCACCCTCATTCTGTCTTATTCCAAAGCTACAATCTCTCTCCTACCCTGTAACAGGAATATCTTCCCTCAGTGCAGACCAGGAGAAAAGCACTGGTAGTTTTTAGTAGTTTGAGTGCAGAGATTAAAAAAGAAGACGCAGTCGTTGATTCCAGGAACTTAGCATCTATTGAGTGAGGCACATAAATAACTCTGGTAAGAAGTAAACTGTTCTAAAATAGAAATGCCTTACACATCCACACTGACCCCTTCACACCCCTTGGTGACCACAAGAGTCCAAGCCAGAGAAGGAGTGCAGAGAACATCTGCTTCCCCACGGAGCCCATCTGATCTTGGACCTGGAGCCTCTGACGGGAGGTAGCTGGACCATTAGGATCTTCCTAAGTCTCTTGACCAATCCACCTTCCCTAGAGAACCAGAGGCAGACTGCTTTTCTCCCTCTGCTAAGAATGTGTCCTGCCAGAGGAAACACTTTCTGGATCATTAGGGAAAGTAAGAGAGGTCAACTCTCTTGGTTTCATAAGAGTAGAGAAGCAGACAAGAAACAGGTCTTTTAAACTCTACAACAGACTCGCTGCAAATGCAACATAAACTATAGAGGAACAATTTTGTAGGTGAAAGGGAGTTGTAGGGTAAGGAAGAAAAAAATGTGCACAACTCGGTGAGATCCTTGATCAAAGGTACAAATAATTTTTTTGCAGGAGTAATTGTGCTGAGCCTGGAGATTTGTAGGCTCTTATTCCCTTCTCCTGATGTTGCTCAAATAAGGTTAGGCCAATTCTGGGAAATGATACCCTCTCCCTGTCACATTCCTGTAAACTAGCTCCCTCTTGGCCTCTTTTGGACGGTACATAGGTCCTTGACATCTGCGAGGATTGATGATGTCCAGAGGCACTCACAAATCCCCAAGTTCATGAGTGCGGAAACGTTTGTGCAAGCTCCTGGCTTATTCCCAAACCGCATGTTTCCTGTACATTGCCTCACATCACAGGTTAACCACCCTTTCAACTTGAACTGAATTTCAATCTATCACATTATGGTGATTTTTCTGTCCCCCACACATAAACCAGTTTTGATTAAAGAAAAAAATAGTACACACTTTGTAAGTTCTTGCAAAACTAGCGACGAGTGAAGAGACACAGAGCACAAGGCGCTGGGCGGTCAGTTCCCCACCTAAGGGAGTCTCTTTCACACACAAGCTCCAAGAGGCATGAGATTTAACACCGGACCTCTACATGCAACAGATGGCCGTATGTTAAGGGCCTTCATGGTTGTTCATGAACAGTCTAAACTAAGACTTTAGGTCTGTGAGTGCCACAGGTTTCCTTCTTGTCCACACGTCATTCTTGGGCTTCTAAGACTACACATTCCTTGGCACAGGTGAGTGCTCCCTCCCCAGGGGACCTCTGGGCAGAGCAGACCCAGTAGGAGAATAGCAGTAATGAAATCAACTTCCTCCGGAAGATTCTCCTGTACCCGTCTCTATACCCTCTGCATGTGGAAACAACAAAGGACGTTTATAGTCATGACACTAGGCCTTCTGAAGATCAAGGGAAGATCAACCTCATATACAGGGTAGGGCAAAAGAAGGTTTACAGTTGTGATATGCAAAACACAGAGTTCATTTGTGTATTATTATTTATTAATGATTGTATTATTTTCCATGCAAACAGCTGTAAACTTACTTTTGCCCCACCCTGTGTCTACTTATGATCCATTTCATTCTGCTTACCAACCAGAATTGAGGTAATAGCTAATAAAGAGATACATATAAAATATGATCTTGAAAATAGGAATACAAAATAAAAAATTCTGTAGAGGGAGGGGGAAATAGACTTATCAAAAAACTACACAGATAGAATTACTGTGATATAGTTCAGAGTTTCCTGGTAAAAAAAAAAAAGGCAGAAAAAAACCCAACCCAATCAATTATGCTTCAGGAGAGAGATGGCATCTCAAAATAAATTCACAGTGAGGGACTTAAGCCAAAGGAATTCAATGACACAGTGGACCATGCTCCAATGGTTTTTACAAAATAAGTGAAAAATTTGACATATAACCATTTCCCATGTTGTTTCTAAATAATAGCTTAAACCAAATCATTAAAAAATACTTAATATAAGTTTTGCCTCAGGAAAAACAAAGTATAATAATCATTATCAAGTTGGCGGGGTGAGGAGTTGGAAGAGCTGGCAGAATGTGGGTAATTACTGAAACTGGGTGGGGGGTTTCTGATGATTTGTTGCATTATTCTATTCATTTGTGTACATTTGAAATTTTCCACCATAAAAATCTAAGAAAGACTGTGAAATCATTCAGCAGCCAGAGAATTGAAGCTAATATGTTATCTAATGAAGACTATATTCTGTGCGATGAAGTTTTAAGTTAGGCAGATATAATGTTATATTAGATCTTTGAAAACCAACCATCTGGGCTGTGAAGCACTTGATGATGTTCAGAATCAGCCCTAAGCACTGTAGACTTTTCTAGATAAACGCACACATTCCCAGCTAATCATGGTGGCCGTTACTGACACACTTGAGACAACAAGCTATGGAGGGGTGAAGGGGCGAGCCAGACCCCGTTACCTTCACTGCAGTTCTTCAGGGCAAAGAAGTCCACTGCAGACAAGCTTCGGTTTCCACTTGAGATGTACTCCAGGGCCACTCGGAACGGGTTCTCTGGGCGCCCAATTCTTCCCTGCAGCACCGTCCAGCTGGTGGCATAGAAAGCGAGGGAGAAGCACAGAAAACAGTGATGAGAAGCAGGCCTAACCTGCAGAGAGGGCCTGCCCTGCAGTGGCGTCAGGGCCCATACTCCAAGGGCATTGCCAACAAGAGATGGAGCCCTACATGGCTTGCAGGAGAGCGGCCTGAGAGCAGCACATGGACATTTGTTCTTGTCTTGTCCAGCTAACTCAGAGACCCACTTCCAAACCCACTGTGGCCACTGGTGGGGTTTTTCCCCCCCATATTCTCTTTAGGCAGTTACAGACCTGTGAGATATTTCAGTAGCTTGTCTTACAGGAAAAGATATATATACTTGAGAAAACCTGGCAGTAGAGTGAAGGAACAGCCTTTAAAACATTTATCTGTCTATTTATAATTATCTCTGGAAAGAATGCTTGGTTATCAGAATTTTATCTGATCCCAAAGTCTCAGAATCCTCAGGTTTGCTATATAGTTACTTAAGGAAAGCTTGCAAGGGCTATTTATTTACCGCAGGAAAATTAAAGTGCACTGAAGCATGTATTTGGGGGTAAAAGTACCTAAGATTGACGTGGATTCTGCAAAAAGGTGCAAACAGAAAAAAGACAAAAGCAGGCCAAACAGCAAGCTTTGCATCCATCTATCACCAAGGACACTGCCACGGTAGGGTAACAGAGAATCTGCTAAATGAACATTTTCACACCTCACTCAGGCGATTAACGTCTGGGAGCAGCCTCTGTCACTGATTGGAACATCAAATTTGCTTCTCAACAATGATTCAGGTTCTTAAAGAAATATATAGTTATTTTGGAGAATGGAAATTATATGGACTAGTTCATATTTTCTTTCCTTTAAAAAAATAATTTTATTGAGGTGTAACTGACATACAAGAGTGCATGTACTAAATGTATAATTTGATGGCTTAAAATGCATAAATTGATGAGTTTTGCTATATGTATGCAGTAATCTGCCCTTATCCATGGTTTTGTTTTCTGTAGTTACAGTTACCAATATGAAATGGAAAATTCCAGAAATAAACAATGCATAAGTTTTAAATTGTGTGTTGTTCTGAGTAGCTTGATGAAATCTCGCACTGGCCTGCTCTGTCCACCCAGGATGTGAATCATCCTTTGTGAAGCGTATTCATGCTGTATACACTACCCTCCCATTAGTCACTTGGTAGCCATCTGGGTTATCAGACCGACTGTCATGATACCGTAGTGCTGTGCTCAAGTCACCCTTATTTTACTTAGTAACAGCCCCAAAGCCATTCAGATAACTTTTATTACACCATATCGTTATAATTGTTCGATTTTTATTATGTTATTGTTGTTGATCTCTTACTGTGCCTAATTTATAAATTAAACTGTATCATGGGTATGTACAGAAAAAACAGAATATATATAAGGTTCAGTACTATCTGCGATTTCAGACATCCACTTGGAACATACACCTGCAGATAACAGGGGACTCTGTACATGCATGAACTCATCACAGTGTTTCATATGGACTGACCACTAGGTTGGGCTTAGGTATAGTAGTGCAAGTGCTAAGGAATTCAGGGAAAGACTAGCTTTCTGTTTTAAAACATTTAAAGCATCCTCCCCCACAAGTGTAAAGTGATGCTTATCATGAAAAATGTTAAAAGTCCAACAATTCAGGAAAGTGGATAAAGAAAAGTCACCTAGAAGTCATTATTCAGAGATAAACCACTGTCCACACCTCAGTGAACAGCCTTTCAGCTGTAATTCTAAAGAAATGAGAGCACACTGTGCCTGCACCTTGCCACTCAATGGCATGTCTCAGCATGTTTTATTATTATGAGATAATAAATATAGATTACAGGATCAGTTCAATGATTGCATTTTTAATGATTTGTGCACTGCTCCTCATTTTTCCTTTTTACACCACGCAGAAGCCAGCCCTGTGTACTTACTTCTGTAGCCACTGCCTTGGGACACTTCCCAGAGCCTGGGTCAAGGCGCACGGACATTTAAAACTCAGAGGCATATTGTCAGTCCTCCAACAGCGAGTCAGCGGGCCCATTTTGCCATTTGGTGGCAACACTGGAACCCATGAAGTCTTTCCATCTTTGCTAACTTTCCCTGACAAAGGTGTTGCCTGAGGCAACCACTGGTCCTTCAGCAGGCCTCCAGGATGGCAGTTTGAGTCTCTGGTCCCTGCCGTGTTGCTCGGCATGCACTGGGAGTCTGCTGAGCGAAGAGGGTAGTTTTGTTCCCGTTCTATACTCTTCTGTAGTTAATTCAGATCACTGGAGCCAATGCCTCAACCATTTAATAAAAGTGTATTGTTTCCACACAGTAGAGGCTGTAGAAGGGATATTGCTGTTGTAAAGTTTGTTCTCTGTTACTGTACCCAGCAGGTTTTCTATCCAAAATAAAACCAGTATAATTGAATAAGGACAAGGAGGCCTCTTGGTTTAAATGTGGGGCTGTCAAAGAAAGAAATATTGGAAAAGAAAATGTAAATGAGGGGTTCTTATGAAAACAAACAAATTAGAAATTTTCTTGCTCTTCTGAAAAATAAAGGGACTTACTTTTGAGGAAAGATGATGGTGAAAGGCGTGACTATTCAGATTCTGCCAAGAAATGTCGCTCCCTGCTCCGAGGAATGATGGATTTTAATCCCAGGTACACAGGGGCCCTTGACAATGATTTCCAGTTCTATATTGGCACTAGCCCTCTGGATAAATGTGTCAAGAGTTTTAGGAATTAGTTTCTGAGTTACTGATGCAATAACTTTTGTCTGAAATTCTCTGGCCTCCCATAGTTTACTGCTGCAACTTTAATAACTTTCAGAGCAGTTGCCAAACATGTATTTTATAACCAGGGAAGTTGGGACCAGGAAAGGGCAAGCTTATACCTAGGGTCAGATTTGTTTAAGAAAGAGCCAAAAACCCCATGAAAAACAAATCCAAGCTCTCTCTTCTGTCTGTCTCCATTTTCTTTACTTATATTCCAGTGCTCATAAAACTCATTCATTAGGGTCTTGTTTTCATCTTTAGCTGGTGTTCGTTGGAGGAAGTTCTCTGTTCTGACCTAGAAACAAACGTGCAGCCATATCCATGTGCTGGGGATTTGAGAACATCTTAGCAATGATGCTTCAATCAATCAATTTGACAGTGTGGGAGTCCACCTGGACTTTAGGAAGCCAGAAAAGCTGTATGGATAGCCTGTAACCATCCATTATCTTCCAGTGTGTTTCTGAAGCTTTCTGCTTCCAGTTCTGGCTCTGTCCTTCGTTTGTCTGATGACTTTGAACACGGCACTTTACTCTGAAAGTCTGAAATTGTGGATGTTTCCGGATCAATTGTATTCTTAGCCAGAGAAAGTGTCTTCAACTTTGTGTGAATTTGCTGAGGAATAACACTGACCACACTTTTTTTGCTGAGTGGCTTCACTATAATGAATAAATTAGAGCCCATCAAAAAAGGCAGGAGAGATGGTTTGTGAATGTCAAGGTCCATTCTGACCTGGGAACTGGAAGTAGTATGTAAAAGGCCTCTCAATTGGGGTGAGTCGCATATTCTGGTCCTGAATTTGCATGGGTTGCAGTAAGTCCCTGCACCTCCTGGGGGTTGAGTTTCTTTATGAGCAAAATGTGGGCATTGAATTTAAAGTTCTGATGCCTTAACTTCTCTCACAGATTGCAGGAGTCCTGGTGACAAAACACTTTATGGAAGCCCTGAAAGCTGCAATGGACAAATAATATTCTACAGAAGGTGGAAGAAGAGTTATTAGCCCAAAACTCACAGATTTATTTCTGCAAAGCGACGCACTTCCACCCCCTTGCAGAAATGGAGACTTGCCCGAGGTCAGACACTTGGTTAAAATCAAGTATATTATTGCTCCCAGAGAGGCCATGGATCAGTCTATGTATCCAGTTGCTTTTCGTATCACTAGAATCACAGAGATAGAAAAGGATATGTCTACTCAGCACTGCTAGAGGGATCGCCAGTCTGGGTTTGGAAGATAGATAGGTCAGCCAGACAGTGACATACAATATCAGAACATGCACACACAAAACAAACAATCCTAAGAAGCTCTGGCCTGGGAACAAAAAGAATCTCTAAGGCTCCCACCATTCCACACCAGGTTAGTCGCTACATGCTTAGAGGAAATGCCTGGCATGTCTGCTGATGAGACTGAAGGGTTGGCAGTCGTCTGAAAAGGACAAAGGCACCGAGTTATTTTAAGCCCAGAATGAAGGGGCACTTTTGACAGCATGTGAGGGCCAGAGACGGCAGTTGACAAGATAGAGGAAAGTGTATTATTTTGTGGCTGTGTGACATTCCAATAGGCACAATGTTGATGTGGGGCTAGCTCACAAAAGTGAGCCCTCAAACCCTACATGCTAGTCAATGGAATGCCTTTCTGAGATGGTTTTAGCTGTTGTAATACCACAAGGCCTAGATTCAGTTCTGGCTCCACCATTCACTAGCTAAGTGATCTCAGGCAAATGATTTACCTTCTCTGATCTTTGGGTTCCTTATTTTAAAGATGGAAGCCATAAGGACTAGCTTGCTGTACTGTGAGGGTTTGTGAGAAGGATGTATGCAAAGGAACATGTTTATTAGGAGCTCAATAAACAGGAGCTATTCTTACAGAAGACAACTTTCTTCATGGAATAACATGGGTCCATGAAACTATCTGCATCTCAGCTCATTTATGAGATTCAAGGGGGAAACGAATGTAGGTAAAATACAGTGAGAAGGACACTTGTAATTTAAGAATAGCAGCTATCTTATTTGTTTAAACTAAAAAAAACTTAGTTAAATGAATCTTCATATGTTAGGCATATCCCCAAGAAGTTATGTTGAAACACCCATATAAGAAAACATATTAGGATGGGACTGTAACAACAGATCAACCTTCTGATCAGAACCTCCAAAGTATCCCATCTCACAGTAAAAGCCTCTTATTTACCTTTGCATCTTCTTGTAGCATGTGCAAAGATGCCTTGTGTCTAGAAGATCTTGGTTAGAATT